GTAAGAAACCCTTTATGCCAATCGTATAGTTGTGGCGATGTACACATGTATCACGTTAAGGCGCATCACGAAGCAACGACTGGCACACGATTATGTCCTACCATGCTGCCTTTTTGATCAGTGAAAAATATTTTTAGGGAAGCATTTTTTTTCGTATGTGGAACGTTAGGGAACACTAGAATCATCGTGGTACTGACGCGGGAGTTGGTTTGCCACGCGGTATTCATTTTGTAATTTTGCGGGAATTTGTAATTAGCAGAACAACACTAATACTTAACATATTGTTACGAGTAGGAGACTGACTCAGAGGGGTGGTCACCGATGTATTTACAGCCGGTTAGGCGAGCAGCCCCAGCCACACAGATTAGCTCGCGCCAGTCTATCTGCTTTCTCTTCTTCAACTCCATGGACTGGCACGTAGCATGACCCCGGGCGGCGGAGGCATCGTCCCGGTGCTCTAAAGGTCGTTATCTGACGCATTCTAGTAGGGCTTGATCCGCGAGACGTGTACAATATCACTGGGCCGCATAGTAGATGATGATGGCCAGATGGAGCTGATCTCTTAGGTGACAGGTGTTACTTGACGCAATATACGGTAGGGTCCCGTGTAATGAGACAGAGGTTTTTCGGATAGGCCCAGCCGACGATGAGGGGAGCAGAGTAAAACGAGGGTACCGGGAGCGAAATGTACGTTTCTATGTTCCGCATTGTACGGACGGCATTGGTTGGTTTGCGACACCATCAGCCAAGCGCAAGCGAGCTGCCGGGCATGATCGGCTCGCGCAATAGCATCGCGAGCATACTCGCTGGTGGACGAGGTGTGAGTTGAGATGACTGTGTTTAGTGGTAAAGTCGGCTCTCTTCCGTGCAATAAGTACAACGGCGAAAAGCCTGCTGTGTCGTGACGGGATGAATTATACGCGAAAGTTGCGTAGGGTAAAGCAAGGTCCCAGTCTCGGTGGTCGGGCGACAAGTACATAGCGAGCATATTTGTTAAAGTGTGGTTAAATTGTTCCGTGAGGCCGTTTGCTTGAGGGTGGTAAACGGTTGTCAGTGTGTGTTGTGTGGAACAAGAACGCAGAATGTCGGCGATGACTTGGGATAGAAATGTACGGCCACGGCCTGTGAGAAGCTGTCTCGGAGCACGATGAAACAATATAACGTCCCGTAACAAGAAGTCAGTGACGTTAGTTGCACAGCTGGTCGGTAGAGCTCGCGTAATAGCGTAGCGTGTAGCGTAGTCTGTAATAACGGCTATCCATTTGTTTCCCAATGTTGCTGTGGGAAAAGGACCAAGCAGGTCTAACCCAACACGGTAAAATGGTTCCACGGGTATGTCAATTAGTTGAAGATGGCCAGCGGTAGCAGCAACGGTGTTTTATGACGTTGGCATAGGTCACACATGGCGACGTATCGGCGTACCGAACGAGCAAGGCGTGGCCAGAAAAAACAGCGCCGGACGCGCTCGTACGTGCGGGATACGCCAAGGTGTCGAGCCGTGGAAGCGTCGTGAAGTTCGGTGAGAACACAGCGGCGCAAATTCTTAGGCACAACAATGAGAAGGTCGGGCCAGTCTGGTCGGAAATTACGACGGTATAGCACACCCTTTTGAATGACAATGTAGCGGAAGGAAGCATCATTTGTGGAGTATTCCATACGGCTGATGATGTCAAGTAGCTCTGGATCACGCTTCTGTTTTTCCCATATATTAAGGATGTCGAACACAGACAAGATAGAGTTTTCCGTGGGCTCGTCAGTGTCCTCAGGATCGTCGACAGGGCACCGGGAGATGTAATCGGCGTCATAGGGTAGGTGGCCAGATTTGTAGACCACCGAATAGGAAAACTCTTGCAGGCGCAAAGCCCAGCGACCGAGGCGGCCTGATGGATCTTTCAGAGAGTTGAGTTAGCAGAGTGCGTGGTGGTCGGTAACTACCGAAAATGGGCGTCCGTATAGATAAGGTCGAAATTTCGCCACCGCCCATACAAGAGCCAAGCACTCACGCTCTGTTATCGAATAGTTACGTTCAGGGGCGGATAGTAGGCGGCTGGCATATGCAAAAACGCAATCATGGTCTTGATGTTTCTGAGCCAGCACTGCACCAATGCCATGCCCACTTGCATCTGTACGGAATTCCGTAGGGGCAGCAGGGTTGAAGTGTGCCAGAATCAGAGGGGTAGTGAGAAGAGCGATGAGAGTCGAGAACGCAGAAGCCTCTTCGGAGCCCTATGAAAACGAAACTTCTTTCTTCAGGAGCTGCGTAAGCGGTCTCGCTGTGTACGCAAAACTTTTCACGAAGCGTCGGGAGTAGAAGCATAGTCCGATAAAGGTGCGTACATCCTTCGCAGATCGTGGTACAGGAAAGTTTTAGATGCGGAGCATCTAATACTCGAGGCTTGTAGTGCAGCGCCGTCCGCAAGCTTCCTCCTCCTTCTTCCACCATCTGTGCATCCCTTCCTCCTCTACACACCGCGCGCGCTTCCCTCCTCCACCATCTGTGCACCCTTCCTCCTCTACACACCGCGTGCGCTTCTCCTCTTCACGAACATTCGCTAGCTGTATAATGTAGCGCGCATGCGCCGTCACGCTTCGAGAACATCGGCAGCTGACGCGCTCATGCGCCGTCGCGCTTCGAGATAATAATAATATTACTCAAGCATATTGGTTGAAATGAGAACGTAAGCACATTGACTTGTCTTCCTTCCATGGAAGTTATGTTCCTCAACACAAAGAAGTTTACGGTAGTTTACTCCTTTATCACAACCGAGTATGAAGGCATTAGAGCTTTTCTTCTGAGTTACGCTCTGCTGATAATTCAGAAAGTCAAAAAGCAAGAAGTTTTGCAATGATAACCACCGTCTCCACTGTTTTTCATCATTCTTTGTTTGAATAATTCAGTGATTTTCCTGTTCATACTGCAAGTCTTTTTTTCGCTAATACCATTCTTTACTTGTTATCTTGAACACATATTTCAGGCAACCAATCGGCACTACTGGCTTTGTAAGAAACCCTTTATGCCAATCGTATAGTTGTGGCGATGTACACATGTATCACGTTAAGGCGCATCACGAAGCAACGACTGGCACACGATTATGTCCTACCATGCTGCCTTTTTGATCAGTGAAAAATATTTTTAGGGAAGCATTTTTTTTCGTATGTGGAACGTTAGGGAACACTAGAATCATCGTGGTACTGACGCGGGAGTTGGTTTGCCACGCGGTATTCATTTTGTAATTTTGCGGGAATTTGTAATTAGCAGAACAACACTAATACTTAACATATTGTTACGAGTAGGAGACTGACTCAGAGGGGTAGTCACCGATGTATTTACAGTCGGTTAGGCGAGCAGCGCCAGCCACACAGATTAGCTCGCGTCAGTCTATCTGCTTTCTCTTCTTCAACTCCATGCACTGGCACGTAGCAATATATAAGGTTGAAAATTGTATAATCGGACTTCTTGCAAACTGATCTACAACTTTCTCATAGAAATGTTTATCCGAATACGTTCCTTCAAAAGTTAGCTATTATAACAGATTTAAATAACAATAGTTTAAAGAACCAAAAATAGTCTACCTCAAGGCAACGGTGAGCAGCATGCATTTTGTCGCGCCGTAATAGTGTGTGCCGGCATATTTTTACACTCTATCTAAGGTTACCTTAGACAACCTATATATATATATATATATATATATATATATATATATATAGTTCTCGACGAGTCGAGAACGTCGAGAACTTGAGAACGTCGAGAACACGTCGAGAACTGAACAGCACGTGATAAGAACCGTATGTGGACGTACACGGACAGTTGGTTTCGTTCTCAGTGTTGACAGTGGTTCTTCCTCTTTTTTACTTCCTTTCTTTTCTTTCTTTTTTTCGTCTTTTTTCTCCCCCGCCTTTTTTTGTTTTTTTTTCTTTTTTAGTTCCCTCTCACTCTCGCAAACATCTTTCAAGGCGAGAGGGATGCGGCAGCAACGAAGTTTGGAAGTTAATGTCAGTATAACTCATCTCCTGATGATGGCAGGACCTCTCCCGAAACTGTTGGGAAATAAATATATTTATCCCTGTTGACAACGCTCCTGTTGTGCGCCATATCCCATACCTTCACGAAGACTAACTGGCCCATTGAATTATTACTGCCACTATATATATATATATATACATATATATATATGAGTTCTAACAGACAATAATGCCAAGGAATGTAGAATGTACAGGGTACTAGGGGAAGTTAATTATTAGAACCAATGCAATGTGAATAAGAAGAAAGGGAAAAATAGCTTGCCGTGAGCAGAGCAAGTTATTTTTTCACCCACTTTTCTTTCTTTTTGTTTACAATACATTGGTTCGAATAACTTTCCCAATGCATTCTTTCGCATTATTGTTTGTTAGATCTTATTAATATTGTGTCTAAACACGGGAAAACGAGCCCCTAGATATAGAATTCTTCCCTTATATATATATATATATATATATATATATATATATATATATATATATATATATATATATATATATATATATATATATATATGTGTGTGTGTGTGTGTGTGTGTGTGTGTGTGCGTGTGTGTGTGTGTGTGTGTCTGTGTGTGTGTGTGTGTGTGTGTGTGTTTAACCTGGAAAATCACAAATCGCATGGTGCGGTGTGGAAGGTCGAAGACTAACGATCTGCATGTCAACGTGATGGAGATATGAAACGACTGCGAAAATCCATAAAGTGACTTAAGGGTTGCTTGAGGGGTACTGCTTCCTCTGAAAAAGGAGTAAGATTGAGTTTTGCATGTGAATTTTTGCGTTTTTGTAGTTTGACGCGTGTATCAGCTGCTCTTCCACACAAGGATGGGCAAGAAGTAGCGCAAGCCTGACAGTTCAGAACAACACTTTAGAAGATATGGTTGGAATAACTTTGTTTTTATGTATTTATTTTATTATCAAGTGCTCCGGAAAAAATGCTGGTGGCAGGCCGTGCGGCGATTAAGTGTGAAGAGTCGGAAGACTAGCTTTCGTTTTTTATAAGACGGCCATCCCGTAAGCCGGACGCCTGAGTAAAACGTTCATCTCTGCATCGATATAGTGGGCCGTGACCTTCGAAAATCCGGCATTTTCAATTTCCTTCACGGAATCTCGATTGAGATGACAGTTGCAACAAGTTATCCTCGAAAGTGGGGTTACCGCGCTCTGCAGCAGCCTCTGCCACGTACCATTGGGAAAACCCACGTGCTCCAAGAAAACCACGCTGCCGCCCTGCACATAAAAACTTCAGTTAGTTTCGGGACACAGATCTATGATGGCCAAACGCGTGCCGTGAGCTGCACCACTCGAGCTTTAGAGGATCTTTAAAGTGGAACAATGAAGCATATTATCTAGATATGTTGTAAAAATAATTAAGAAATCTAAGTTTAATTTAAAACTTCGCACAAATATAAATTCTACACTTAACCTAATAAATTTTAAAGCACTTTTTAAGTATTTTGATGACACGAGCTGAACGACATTCTCTGAAATTGGCGTGCAAGAAAATGAACATATGGATATACGACCACACGAGCGATCACAGCTAGATGATTTGATTCAGAAAAAAAAAACATGATATTATGAAGTTCAGAACACCATGGGCGCGCCTACGCCTACATATAAATTGAGGTAGATGGCAAAAGCTTACAATTGATTGCGCTAAGTCAACTGGAACTAACTCACCCACAAGCATACCAACGTTTGGATAACACCAACGCCTCTTTTATTTCTTTCAATGCCAGTGAACACGCACACTAACCCGTGGGAGCCGTCGGTCTGCCTTCGTTCAGGTAATAATAGTGCTGCGACGATGCATGAGGGGCCACGTTGCTTGAATAATACCTGCTTCTGAGTACGTTCCGCCGATGATGCGATAGACGCGTTTTCTACTACACTATAGTTCGTCTGTCAGATTTGTCGCTTCGTGCTCGTTTTTTTTTTTTTGTGCGGCTCGAAGCAAGGCTGCCACCTCAGCACGGCACAGCGCATGGAATAGCATTGCAGTGACGCTTCCCCATTGGTTCCCCACATAGCGCCACAAACGGCACCACGCTATCTCAAAACAGTGTATTTTTAACTAGCGTGACCGCCAACATATGAAATTGAGGAATACCAGACGCCGCCTCACGGATATGTACGCAACTGAACGAAAAATTACTTCGTATGATTTCTATAATGAGGCACTGCATGCGTGGTGGGGCACCCTCCCCCATGACAGCAAAGCACACGCGATGGCTAGGCGATAGGTCAGAGCAGTAAAGGGCTAGAGGAGAGGGTAGTGAACGGCTGGATTGGGCGCATTTGGCTGGCATTGATAAAATAAAAAAGGCGTCACTAACACAATCACTGTCTTTTTAGAAGCAAAGCAGTTTATGGCCGACCCTACCTTGATCCGTCACTTGGCCATCCAATGTTTATGCGTTAGTTAATCGGTATAAAATTGCCTGCGCTCGCTCGTCTCTACTCATTGTCTTCAAGGGCCTGATGAACAACAACATGAAAATGATCGCTTCCCCACCGCAAAGTGGCATTGGCGCCAAGGGAATCCTAAACTCTGGGCTAAAGAAGGGGAAGCGCGCCGTAAATGCGGCAAGATGCTGTGGATATGACAAGGACTCGGGAAGCCGAAACGAAACGACAGCACCGTCAAGCCAACGCCAGGCAGTCTCACAACGTATTTGCCGGGAAGCTGATCGGGAAAGATTTCTTGATCAATTGTCACGTAGGGTTTAACGTCCCGAAACCACTATATGATTACGAGAGACGCCATAGGGAGAGACCCGGAAATGTCGTCCACCTGGGACCCCTTAAGGGCTTATGACGACCTGCGCTCGTCAAGAGCAGTTGCCACTATTTTGCTTATGACGAGTTGTGGTCGTCATCAGTTTTCCGCAATGCTCCTACAGGCTTTTAACGAGCCCGGGTCGTCAAACGGGGATTTACGGAACCTGTGCTGTCATCTATGTTTAAGCACCACAAGTTCCGTCATTGGCGGTGGTATTAAATTATAGTTTGCACACTAGATGGCGGAATGTGTGCGCTTGTTTCCCGCGCGTTTTACAAACATGGCCTCATCCGTGCGGCGTTCTGATGCGGAGAATCTTCCTTCTTCAGACGATGAAAGCGAGAGTGATAAGGATGCCACCGTAGTGTTTTATTCTTCAAGTGAAGAAGACAGTGATGACGTTTTTACGGACAGTGACTCTGAAGGAGAAGACAGTAGCGATGATACAATGGCTAGCTCCCGTGAATGGTTTCGCATAGACCTCGACAACATCCCAGCCAGACCTCCACGGTTTGATTTCAGGGGTTTCACGGGACTGAAGATCACAGTAAGCTCTCCCCCTCATCCACTTGAGCTCTTTGAAGCTTACTTTGATGATGAGCTGCTTGATGTTATCGTCGTGGAGACAAACCGGTACGCTTCTCAGCTTCTGAATTCTAGCAAGCTGGGACAACATTCTCGCTTCCGAAAATGGTATGCACTTACGCGAGAAGAACTTCGCGTTTCTCTGAGCCTCCTGTTGCTGCAAGGCATTGTGCAAAAACCAAATGAAAGGATGTACTGGTCTAGGAATCGGCTGGTTGAGACTCCGGTCTTTGGCGAGATAATGTCCAGAAACCGCTTCGAACTAATAATGAGAATGTTGCACTTTGTCGACAACACGACAATCGAAAATTGTGAAGGACACCCTCAACCTCATCTGAGGAAAATCTGGCCGGTTTATCAGGCACTTCTTGAAAAATACCGGACATTGTATGTGCCGGAGCGGGACGTCAGTGTCGACGAGAGCTTGCTGCTCTTCAAAGGCCGGCTCAGCTGGAAGCAGTATATGCCCCTGAAGAGAGCGAGGTTTGGCATAAAGCCATTTTTGCTGTGCGAATCTTCAAGTGGGTATATATGGAACTCTGTAATTTGTACAGGGAAAGAAACGAACATTGAGATCTCGTCAGAAGAAGCAGCAACCTTCGGAATGGCGACGAAAGTTGTTTTGAAGCTTCTGGAGCCCCTGCTAGACAAAGGCTACTGCGTCACAACTGACAACTTCTACACCTCACCAGAACTGGTTGACTTTCTTTTGAAGAGATCAACTGACATCTATGGCACGACGCGAGCCACTCGCAAAGACCTTCCGCCTGGTTTCGCCAAGGCAAAGCTCAAGAAAGGCGAGATGGTTGCCTTTCAAAGGGGCAAGTGCTTGGCTGTTCAATGGATGGACAAAAAACTGGTGACGGTTCTATCTACAGTACATAGTGCTGAAATGGCGCGATTCATTGACAAAATGGGCAAAGAAACCCTGAAGCCAGAAGTTATACTTGATTATAACCATACAATGGGAGGAGTTGACAGAGCAGATCAGATGCTGGCGAGCTACTCAGTGCCACGGAAACGAAAAAAGATCTCCTACAAGAAGATCTTCCAACACCTCTTGGATGAGGCGACCTACAATTCATTCGTTCTGTACCAGAAAGGAGGAGGCCGAGCATCTCATCTGGAGTATAGGCTAAGGCTTATTGATGAGATCATCACGAAGTACTCTCCCAACACCGGCACCAAGAAGAAAGGACGGCCAGGGCGCCCCCTGAACGCAAAACGGTTTGGTGAGCGCCACTTTCCATCGCACATACCACCAACAGAGAAGAAGCAAGAACCGACACGCCGCTGCGTAGTCTGCTTCATGAAGCGAGATGTAAATGGCAAGAACATCCGCAAGGAAACCAGGACCTGGTGCAGGTGGTGCGAGAAGGCTCTCTGCGCAGTGCCGTGCTTTGAACGCTACCACACGGATGGTAGCCTCAACTAGCTTCAAGTGAACTATCAAGAAATTGTTTGTTTTCTGCAAGGCAATTCAAACCCGACCCGTGCTTTCTGGAGTTGCAGAAATTAATTTGTGAATACACCAGAAATGCCCCAAATATAGGGTATTATATGGGGTAAAGAATGACCAGTTAAACATGATTATCGACTATAAACAATTTTCGCAAATATTTTTGTGTTTTGAACACGTTTCTGAAGCATATCACATCATTAAAAAATTTGGCCATATTGGTGCATAATATATTTGTTTAATGAGCCCTTAAGGGGTTAATGTGCACCCAAATCCTACGCACATGAGCCTACGATTTCGAAGTAGCGAAATCGTATTGTACACACGTGTTACACATTTTCATGTTCGAGAAGCCACGTACGGTTATTCAAGGTTACTCGAATGATCTCCGCTGCTTAGCCCACACAGCATCATTCACTTCATTGATATGCAATGATTTTTATGTCAAGCCAATCCAAAAGATCACTTGCCATAACGTCTCCGCTGCGGCAATGTACCTTCAATTGACTGAACAGACTCACAGTCGCACAATGGTCAAATTACATGGGTCGCAAAACTTGTAGGGAAAAGTGTCCGGAATTTATTGCCACAGGCATCAAAGCCCGCCAATGACTGAAGCGCAACTAGATGAGGAGGCCAAAAACAACCAAAATTAAATGTTCCGTATACATTTGCTCTCAAACAGTCGTAATTATATATGTGTTGAAGTTAACTATAAATATACATTACGGTGTATATGACACCTGGCTAAATGGTTGATTGCCACACTTTTCGTCAAGTACCATAAACGTGAAACTTGGGGGGCGTATCCAGGCAATTTGCAATCAGAGCTTGCGTTTAGCTCAGCGTCTTCTTTGGTTCGGCACATTTCCTGGTCAACGAGGTATCACTCACTTTTCCCTTGTGGTTTCCTGCGTGGCTTCCGTAGTTTACTTATTTTTCATGCGCTGTTTTCTTGTGCGACATTCAAGAGCTGAACTAGCTCGCAGAAGGTTCAGATAGCCGCTTCTATGATTGCTGACTGCTTTGACTGGCGAACGGCCGGATTGCCATCGCCTTTGATAACGTTGAACACAATACAATAAACAATGGTATGCTGGACTTTATGGTTGCGAAAGCTATATTCTGAAAGACGCTGTCTCACTGCAGTGGTTTTTGACTATTGGGAACGTGAGTTTTCGAAGTATTAGGCTATTGTGCTCGTGAACAGTTGTGTCAGATTTGCAATTGCGAAGTTTTTGGGCAAATAATGTAAGTACGTTATTTGGCTGATGAAACCACTTTGTTTCCTCAGTCTTCGTTTTTTTTGTTTATTTTCTCTACCGCATGCAATAAGTGAGCCGCAGCGCACAATATAATTGCGTATATATGACGGCACCTAAAAGGACTTCATATAGAAAAAATTCGATTTTACGCATTGTATTGCAAATACACGACGCTGCTACTGCTTGTACTTTGGACGTCATTGTCAATATTTCAGTATTTTTTGTATGTTGTTACTTGTCTCGTTCATGCATAGATGGCCACGGCGGAAGCTTGCCGCTGGCTACTAGATTCATGGGCTTCTTTTCAAGTTACGCTACCAGTTTACATATAGCTTGGTGACGCTGTGCACAACGCGCTGGAAAGATGCGTTCACTCGCAAATTTTCAGTGACAGCTCATGCTACCGTATCCCTTAATTAACATCCCGGCTTGTTTGTCCGAAGTAACAGTGCCTGGAGCTCAACGGCAACTAATACACAACCACCTACAAAAAATGCCAGCTAGGCAGTACGTTATTTCTTCTCCAATGCGCTGTTTTTCTCTCCTCGGCATCTATGCGCGCACAAAGCTTAAACAACTTGTTTGACGTGGTTATCGCCACGCGTGTCCTTCTGATGTATTCAAAGTTTAGCAGCAAGAACTGGTTGCTATGCTCAGCACCAGCCAGGCCGCATCGTTGCAGAAGCTTCGCGATTGTTTAAGATCATATTGTCAAGATTGTGGACCGGACGAGAATGATCTATTTTTTTGCAGAACTTTATTCCATGCAATCTTTGATAGCACAGCTTAAAAGCGGTAGTAATTTACTACTTGTCACCTATCTAGAACCGATGATCTGTTGACTGTTATCAATGTACAACTTTAATTCCTTGTACACTCGGTTTCGATTTTCCGAGAAAAAGATCACTCAAATGGAAAGCTGCGTAATTTCAAGTTCTGCTAGGCTCATTTTCCCCGTCACAACCATGAGATGATATAAAGATCAGAACACTGTTGCTAGTAGCCAATTTTTTTAGGTTGTACATCGCAGTCTGAATGAGCGGCAGTACCAAGGCCTTATAACGTTGTTCTGCTTTTCGCTGTTCTTCTCGTTTTTTCTTTAATTTATGAAACAGCGACTCTACAGTGTCCCCCAGAAAGGTCTCTGTGTGCCCAGAAAACCTTAGCCCGTTCACGTGTTGCCAGAAACCGGTCGGGGCCTGCGGGGTCGCAAGATTTTCGGAGCGCTGAATAATAAATCATTATGACAACTGTAGCTGACCAAGCGTATAGTTTTAACCACCTGATTAGATTAAAATTAGCAGTCAATAAGGCACTGGTCACAAAATTCAGAATCTAAAGCAGTTACCTCAGATAATTTCGGCACTGGTTATAGCACCTTGCTTTTCGAATAATATACTTCCATTGCTAGATGGTTTGTCCTCGCAAATTAAAGTACAAAAAATTCAGCCATAGTTTATCGTAATGTTGGCACGAGAATAAATATGAGCCCGGAAAGAGCAGTGCTGAACGAACCCACCTTCACCAATACACGCTTGACTTCTTTGAGAACTTTCCTGGGATTTTTTACAGAGCAAAGTAGGTAGGTGAACACTGCAACATCACTGACTGCTTGGCAAATCACTCAGTGTTTTGGCGTATCTTGTCACCCATTGCTCCAGTTGAATCTGTAGAAGTAGAAAAAAAAGGGCTCGCAACATGCACACAATACTAAAGCCTACATTGAGGCAGGAAGACACGGTGCAAGAATACTTTAGGTCAACCAACTCCGGGACTCTCTACTGCCCGATAATGTTCTGCTTCGCGAGGATCCCTAGCGGTGGCGCTACAAACTTTGCCCCGGTTCTCCTCCCCTCTCTCGGTGCAGAAAAGCCCGGCGACGCAAATGCGCGACGTGTGAAAGTAGCGGCGCATATTTATCGTCGCTGCAATACTTTCGCCACGCCGTTAACCTCCTCCCTTATCATCCCCTCTTTCGCGGCGCCGTTCTATGCGTGTCGCGTGGTTGATATCGCGCGATAACCCGGTTTTTTAAGATATTGAAACCATTGTCCACGCGCCAGATGTGCTTCGCGGAATCTTCTAGCAGCCCGCCACAGTCCTCTGTCCGGTGAGCCTTCTATGACTATGCCGCAAATGAGAGCATAATCGGTCCCACCCCGCCAAGTGCTCGCTTTCCGGCGTTAGCTAACCTGAAGTATTTTTGCACCAAGCAGAAAGAAGGAGGCCTATAACAAATTGCGTGGTGCACAGCGAAGTGCGAGACATATTTCTCGAAGTAGCACTGATGACCAGCACTGTCTCAGCTGAAGTTTGCTGACATGCTATACAATTGTGAACGTGAACCAGCATGCTGAAAGAAATGGATTATGAGCGAAAATTAACAACATGAGCAGCACAGCAATTTATTTAGCACCTGTGGTTGGTATGGAAAGACTCAAGTGTTTTATCTACTAACTCAATAAAGCCTTCGCTGACGCACTTCGCTTCATATTCGTTGATATGGTGCATGCCTAGCAGGAACCTTGTAGGGCGTGTCACTGTGTCTATCGTGCATATTCATAACTAAAAAAATACACTTGCAAAGCTTCCACAGAAAACAGGAACGTCATCCTTTCTAGGCCCTTGGAGCCACTCAGAATCACCGTGATATTGGCGTTGCAGAAGATTTTTGTACGAGCACCACCAATGACACAGTCCTTTTCACCGCCACGCTTTTGTGCGATATCGCCGCATACCTCGCATACCCCATTTTTTTTCGCCTCCTCATTCTCTTGGTCCACGCGTTTTAAGTACGCATGCTCCATTCTCTATTGAAGAGCTAGAAGCTACTATTGCACTCTGTAGACACTCTTGACTAGGAACCCACGGAAAAACATATCGGTATCTGCGTCACCTAGGTTAGGCAGCTGGAAGACAACTAGTAAAATTATTTAATTGGTCATGGACAGTTGCCGTCTCGATTTCCGGAGCCCTCGTCTACGGCGTCTCTCAAAATCTAATGGATCTTTTGAGACGTTATACCCCGCATACAAATTATCCAAGCAACCGAAGGTGGCGTTGCACTTCAAAAATGAAAACGCAGACCTCTGGTGCCCCATCTAAATAAAGATTTGATTGATTTATATGCAAGTTTAACGAACTGGAACCACCATACGATTATGAGAGATGCCGTATTTGAGATCTCCAGAAATTTCAACAACCTGTGGTTCTTTCTTGTGCACCCGAATCGAAGTGCACATGCCTAACTGCTAAAAGCAGGCAAATTCACTCTGGCGCTGGAATAAACTGGCTTATAGCTCTCGCCATCTGTGTTGGAAAATTCATGAAGCGCCTTATTCTCACGCACTTGGAATGGTTTCTTGTACGGCACCATATCCATCCCGATTCCACTGTGGGATTTCCACGAGGCACTTGATTTATTGACCGTGTCACCAGTAGCGCAGCATAAATTCATAAAAAAACAAGCAGTTGCGCTCTTTCTTGATGTAAAAGGTTCTTATAACAACATTCCTCATCTAGCTATATTAGAAACGCTACTATTGAATGAACTTCGAGAATGAATATTACAATGGATCCTAAGCTACCTGAGAGGAAGATCCTTTTATAGGTGAACCTTCTTATGGTCGAACTCAACCTGGTGTGCCGCGTTACCACCCCTACTGCGCATGCGCCTTGGGTGTTGAGCGTTTTTGGTTGTTCGCGTCCCGCGCGCTACCTTAACAAAAAAACAGGGTTTTCTAAAGCTTTGCCTTTAGGAGTTGAACGTGACAGCGCAACCTGTTCCTAGTGCGTACTTCAAACATTTCGTGCATTAAACTTTTTCGAATTTTCTATGCATGCACTACGCGTCCTTAAAGAGACCCTGAAAGACTTTCTTAAGTAACCACGGTATGAATTTACTGGAACAGCTTTATATTACAAACTCGACGCCGTAAAAGTTTAAGAGTCCGTCCAGTGCGACTAGAGTACAAATATTTGTCGCATGCTGCAATTTTATTCTCTGTTCTCTCATCCAGACAAAAGTGCTGAAAGCTAAGCAGGAAGATAGCCTAGTGAGCTTGAGCATTTTTTCTTCTTTTTTTTTGGAATGCCCGGTTTTTTCAGTGTGATCGCGCGTGCACGCGGGGACAAGTAACGGCCTCCCACGGTGATTTCCGTACCGACCAAGCGCACCATGCTCGATTCAGCCAATGGCTGATAGATGGGCTTTCAAAGAGTGATTTTCGAGCGTCTTCTGTCAATTGTCGAGAGAAGGGAAAGCAATATTATGCTGACAATAATAATTTGTTGTGAATTCCAGGCCACGTGCTGCATTCTAACTTGCTCGCGTGTTGTCGGCAACCTCTAATACGAACAGGCGTTTTCTGACTATGCTTAAAAAGTGTTGCAGGACCCTTTTGAGCAACATTCTACCACAAGACGAAGCGTCTGCTCATGTGGCTTTAAAGGAATAGGCGCAGTAGCGTGTGTGCCTTTTTAGCGGGGTATACCGGCTTTCAACCATGGAGCCACTATTATAATCACATGTTCTGACGTTTGTTCGCAATGATCGATGTACCGCTCATTACTAGTTCAAAATTCATGTCGCAATATTGCTATAAAGCATGTATACAGGGCAAGTGTGTTTGTGAAGCATGAAAGCCACTCTCACTGCATTTCCAAGCAGAGCAAGTTCTTTGCACGATTTTCACAAGTAGAGATGTAGCCATGTGGTAGAGCATTCACTTGCCAAGCAAACGAGCCGGGTTCAGTTCCCACTTGGAACCTATCAAACCTGGTTTGAACCCAACTTTGCTCTGTGCTTTTTAACATTTTATATTCTATTTACATCATTCTCAGTTTTTCGGTCAAGCATAGGATGATGGATTTTCGCTCACAACAAACCACACTACACCGCCACCGGAATATCTGCGAAACGAGCTTTTTAACGCTATTGCGTTAAAATGATCCACTACAAACAAGAAGCATCTCACAGTCTGAGGCGTGATCTGCACGAAGTAAATCTCACAGAGGTCTTGGTTTAAAGCATGCACGCTAAAATAACACGCGTGGCATGTCCCCCTCTGAAGAAATGTTACCCCAATGCTTAAAACAGATGACGGGGGGGGGGGGGGGAGCGCATGCAAAAAACAACAAGGCAAGAAAGTACGACAAATACAAGAACAAAATAGAATATTGAAGGGCAAGTATGCGCGTGAAATGGCTTGAGGTGCGCGACATACTCGACATTGGGCCGCGCACGGTGCCGTTGGGAGTTCATAATAGCGTACGCAATTTGTTCATTCCAGTGACGCAGGTGGCGCCTTGTAGCCGTGCTCCGAAGCTGTCACACGGTGATAATCTGCGAAGCAGTGAGTGACGCAGTTCGGAATCTCAGAAGTGATGAACCGATGAAGGCGTCTTCATGCTCTGCGACGCTGATGTGCACGCTCGCGACAATCCTGTCTCGTCCACCATTTGAACGAACCATTGCGCCGCCAATAGTCATGGAATGGTAGAATAACTTCGTATCCTAGCCGCATAAGCATATAAGCAAGTTGTACGGCCCGAAGTATTGTCGAAGTAGTTTGAACTGAGAAGCATCTTAGAGCGGGGTTCAATTCGGTGTGAGATGTAATCACCCTTACTGCGCATCCCCCTCATCTCCTGCACTTTCCTCTCTCGAATCACAACGCTGACACAAGCAGCGTCTTCTAGTCTACGCACGCTCCCCTCTCTCTCCTCCAGGCATTTCTCGTGCCTTTTACACACCACGCGAATGTACGGGAACCTGACCTGAAGGACGCAAGTGTTCATTGATAGGTTCATCCTGCGGGATGGCTCTGATGCAGCGCCTGGCTATAGCCCCTCAGCTTGGCATGGAGCGACAGTGCCACTTGCTGTATTGTGCATCCTCAACAACAGCTGAGCTAGTCGGGCTTTCGTTGGCTGCCGACCTCCTACGCGAGTCGCCAGCCGTCAAGAATGCAGCAATAGTCTGCGACTGAAAACTTGCCCTGAGCCAGCTCACGAGAGAATAACATGGCCCGTTTCTGGCGCTTAAGAGCACGGCTGTGATCTTGTGCTTCAGTGGCTCCCAACACACGTCGCTATTGCGGAGCACGAGGTTGCAGACGAACTTTCAAAATGAGCACACTCCGCCGAGACCAGGCTAAAAGACCATGCAAGCTCTTCCGACTCGGCACGCAACAACCTTCACCGGGAGCTACCACGCGAGCATTCTAACGCTCGGTTTGATTCTGGACGACCCTCTCCTCTCATGCTAGCGACTGGTTTCACCTGCCATGAGCGAGAACTTCTCCTAGCCCTGAGGGCCAGCTCGCTGTGGCCTCCGGAACGGAGGCATTGTCCTGGTGGCGCGAGCTCACTGAACTGCGGTGACTGCGGCGTGGTAGAAACACTGTCCCACCTCTTGAGTAAGTGACCTACTCTAGATGAAGGGCATAAGCGGTTTGTGAGGAAATATCGCCTCGTTGAACTGCCATGTGCGCCCTTGCAGAACATTCTACAGACTACCAGATACGAAGACAATCACCACTCCGCCCTAGCGGACTTACTACACTTTCTAGAGGATACCATTTGAGTGACCA